CTACCCGTGGGTTATAACCCATAGCAAGGGGGCTCCAATGCTTCCTCTGTGGGAATCCCTGGTGGTTTCCTTTCAGGGGACCCCCAGGTTCATTTCTCTCATCCCCTTATCGCACCAAGACCACGGTTGGGGCCCGCAAAGCCCAAGATAATACACCCCCTATTAGCATGGGCTGGCAAAAAACTGCAGACAACCAGTAAAAATGAACAGAACCAAAAAACTGAAAAAAAACAAAAAACAAGCCAAGAACAGTGAAGTGGGGGATTAGTATGGGGTCAACAATATTGAAGGGGTGTCTCAAAAAATGGAATCGGAACCCTCCAAACTGTTGGCTTAAGAGCCCGGGTGAATTTCCGGAAGTGCTTGATGGCCCAGTGCAGCCACCAACTTCCGACACGCACTGGGTGCTTGTTTCTAGGAGGGTCGCTATTGGTGTCCCTTTAAGCCGAGACAAAGGGCCATAAAACAGACACACCCAAGTGCCTTTTCTGGAGAAGTCATTTCAGAAGGATTTCTCTGACTGATGCAGGTCTCGCGAGTGATTTCCTCAAACTTCACGCCACCACAAAAACACCCATCTAAAAGTTGCAACTAGCGGGTGATGACGTTTGATTGGCTGATGGTGGTTGAACCTGAATCGAGGTAACCGCCTGCCATCTCGGGCCCCGCGCACATCGTCCAAAGACGTCACCCGCCAAAGCCTCGCGCGCTCTTCCAGAGATGAGCTTTGGCTTTTTGGGTGGAAATCCTGCGGTGCCCGACCTGTCTATGCACATTGCCTACTTTGCACAAATATTATATGTACTCCCTACTCAAAATACCCCGTTTTCTCAGTTGGTTTTCTGGTAAATGCCGATCCCTTTCTTGTAGAGGGTCGGCATGATACCAGAGGAAAAAGGAATGCCGGGTATCTGGAGGCTACGGGGGGATATATAATATGTGTAAATATAGAAATATATATGTATATATATATATATATGTACTCCCTACTCCAAATACCCTCTTTGTTCAGGGTATCATGTCGACCCTCTACTAAAAAAGGAGGTGCTTACCATGGAAAAAACAAAAGGTTTTCCCCAACAAATGCCCTGGAAAAACAGGTATTTTGAGAAGGGGGTATATATATATATATATTTATGTGTGTGTGTGGCGGCTTCCTTTTGGCGCTTCCTTTGCACCCATGGGGCAAAGGAAAGGAACCCACGGATATGGCTCCGTGAGCATGGATTCGAGCGGCAAGAGGTTTCTTGGACGTTCGGAACGCCAAGTTAGCCATAGGAAAGCGCAGCTTGGGTATTTTCACCCACTTAACAGGTGAATTCCCTCTGCACGGGCGCTGACTCGGTTACAACCTAGGAAATCTCGTCAAAGAAATCGTCCGACAGGCGTACCTCCGGCACATCCCTACGCAAGAACTCTGGCCCGCTTCTGCGCAAGACTATTTACCTTGAGCTTGACTGTTACCTCCATTTGCTTAAGTCCCCTGGAGAACAAATAACAATATTTCCAGTAGTGATAGATTCCCTTTGAAATCAACAGGGAGAAAAAAAACATAGTCTTAACCAAATGGAAGGTTACCTCCAAACATGGGCCATGGTTTTTACGGGTCGCCAATCGATGGACCCAGCGAGTCGCAACAAAATCTCCGCGCGGTCTGCTTCTCTTTTCCGCGGAAAGGCATCCGATCCCCGCGGCTGGATCGCCTTTCAGGCGAAGAAGGCCGTGCAATCAAATTGAGGCACTGGGATGTTCGGAAGGCCAAGGTAAGTGGAAAACGCCAGGGTCCTTTTACCCACGAATTCCCACAAGAAACCGTTGAGTGTGCAAGCTCGGCTACCGTTACAACTTACGATCTTAGCCGAACACCCCAGGCAGGCGAGCAATTCAACGCCACCACGCCCCCCTTGAAAAGTTCCTTGGTCTCGCTTCAAGAGCTGAACGACGGCTCGACCATGATCTCCATGCGGGCTTCCCATACTGTGGATGGTTGCGAAATCCAGAATTCGCACCACTTGGAAACCATGGTTGAATCCATTGTTAGTTGGCATTTGCAGAATCCAGGGCTTCTGAACGGCGGTGCGAAATGGATTTCGCAACCATCCACAGTAGTGGCCGGTGATGTTTAAAACAAACAAAATAAATACCTGGAGCCAGGACTTGGTTCTTGGGCGGCGCAAGTGTCACACCGCCCCTGGCCCTCACTCAAATTCGGCACGAGGAAAGGCGCATTTTTGTCCTCAGGTGGACAGGCGGGCGTGCCACCAAAGCTCCCAAAATGTGGGCCATCTTGACGTGGCTCCCTGACAAATACCAACGCTTTTGTCAGTGGGTATTTTTGGGAAAACCGATCGGTTTTCCATGGTAAATACCGGTCGATCCCCTTTTTTCCTAGAGGGTCGACATCATAGCCTGAAAAAAGCGGGTATTGGGTGTAGGGGGGTAAGACGGTGTCCACTGCCCCCGAACCCACCCCCAGACAACATTGGGGTGTGCACTCCTAAATCAGCGGCCCAGTCTGCATCTCTCATTCAAATTCTGGGGATAGTCGTTTGGGGGTAATGTTGACCTCATATTAAACCAAGTTTATTACTAGAAGGGTGTTCCTGGGTTCAGTGGGGAATCAGACCACTTTTGGAGGGGCCGAAAACCACCCCCTATTAATACACAGATTGGTTGATTTATTTGGGGTCAACATTACCCCCAAACCACTACCCCAGAATTTGAACTTCCGGGTATGCAGACTATATAGCCACTGAATGGGAGTAGTGGGTTGGGGGTAGTGGAAACCATCTTAGATTGAAAAGCCCCTTCAAGTCAGCCTCTCCCTCCATTTGCTTAAGTCCCCTGGAAAAAATGAATAACACTATTTCCAGTAGTGATAGATTCCTTTTACTAATTTACAACCAACAAGGGAAAATAGGAAATAGTCTTACGCAAATGGAAGACTCATGAACCCGGAACCTCACAGAGGGCCCCTGTGATAGAAACGAAGCGAGTTGACACTTCCAAAGGCGTGCGAGCAACTGGTGAGGCCCGGCGATATGTTTCAATGGAAGTGGGCGTTTCTTGGTTGCTGGAACGACCCCCCTGCAAAAAGTTTAACATTTGGGAGGTTTAGTGGAAAAAACCCTCGATTTCCTAAAAAGTTAAAGTCTAAAGATCCAACCCAATAGCAGTCAAGGTTTGAGGTTTCTAGATCTTCCAGCATCCTCTCCGCTTCCACGATCGTTGGAAAGAGCGTAAACTCTCATTAAACTCTCTTGACCTTCCATTTGGTTAAGCCCCCTGGAAAAAATGAGCACATATTTCTAGTAGTGAAACCGATAACGTTTAAAACCAACCAGGGAACACAACAAAAATATTCACTTCAGCAAACGGAAGTGAACCGGAAAGCAAAGAGCTCAAGCTTTCTGCTCGGCCCAAACTGCGGCTCAAGTTCAGGAGCTCCTCTGAGTGAGTTGAGGCTGGGCTTGACGACACCACAGAGGCAGCCAAGGCTCAGGTGATTTCAGGTGCTGGACCCCTTGGTGGTGGGAAGCCAGAGTTGCTCCCTGTAAAAATGATCTGGGGGGGTTCTCACAACGGTGGACCTTTTGTTGGTAGGGGGAAGCCAGCAGTAACCAGTTCAATAATGAAGATAAATCCGAATCGGCTTCTCAAATGGCTCGCCTCGAGTTGACTCACACCGGGTGGTTTCCCTTTCAAATAGCCCAAAGACAGGTACCCTCAAAAATAGAGACGGGAAGCTCAGGGCAACAATTACTAGACTCCACCTTGCTTTCGCATCGCAACACCCCACCCTCCAACATAGTGAGCAATCCAACAACCAACAGTTCCATCCAGCCAAGCACCCAGCCACTGAAGCCAAACAATGACTAACGCAAACCATTGGCAAAAACCGGTGGTGAAACACCAGGCCCATGCTGAGACACCTCTAGACTCGAACCCTTTCAGCGCGCGCGGCATTTTGGGTGCGGATCGTGCGCCTTCACATTTTCCAGCACGCTTGGGGCTTAGTTCCAGAGGTGCATTAACCGCTAGCCATACTTGGACTTAGGCCTTTGTAAACCGTTTAGTCGCCACTAACCCAGCAACATGACAAATGTACAGAAAAGTTCCAACTGTTTGGCCGGCTGACATGATGAAGACACTTGCTGGCAACAAACGTCACTCACTGGGCGCATCCCTGCGGGTGAAACCTCCGGCTATCGTCCGCTTCCCTGGGTTGGACAGCGCCAGTCGGCGGGGGAATTGACTGAAACCATCGTGCGGTGATAGCAAAAAGTCCTCCAAAGAGGGCCCCTCAGAAATGAAAAGCAACCCAAACCAAGCATTTGTGAGGTTACCAGAGCTACTTTGAGACAAATGTAGGGCTTGTAAGCTCACTTCCTGAGTTGATGGGCCAAAACAAGTACCCAAACTTGGCATTTGCCCCCGCAATGGTCTTCCCGAAAAGTTGTTCGAACTCGGGAAGTAAGGTGACCCTACAGGGACCCTCTGTATCCTTTCATGAGACTTCACAACTTGAGATGAGTTGGCACGCCTGTGACCTGCTAACCGAGTTCGGAGCGATAGGAAACGAGTAGCAAAGTCAGCCTCTTGTTTCTTTATTCTGATGTTCTTTCAGATTCTTGGGCTCATAAAACTCACGTGCCCCAAGGCCACGGAAAAAATGGTCCGAAACAAAAAAGTCAAAAGGCCAGAGAGGGGACGGGCTTCCTTGCGGCGAAATCACATGCTTCTTGGCCATCTGGGCTACCCAAAAAGTCGTATACTTTCGGCCTCTGCTTCACATTTCGCGCAACATAGTTTTCCGGCAGATGACTGGAAGCCTCCAATTGGCTCCTTTGCTCCGTGGTAAGTGGGTAAAGGGTCATTACGTGCTCATTCGCCCGTCCTAAAGCCAGTTTCTTCGTTGCTGTTGACCCACCTGCAAAGAGTGAATAACTTTTTGGGGGTTTAGTGGACTTGATTTCAACCGAAAAGTTGAAGTCTAAAGATCCAACCCAATAGCAGTCAAGGCCTTGGGCTGCAGATTCGTGGCCCGTTTTGGGCTGCTATTGCCACCTACACGCCTCTCACCGCTTCCACGCCCGCGCTCGCCAGCCGCCGCAGCAATTGGGGCAGCGCGAACAGCGCCGAGCACTCCGAGGCGGAGGCGGAGGCGACGGCCGCGTCCAGGGCGGAGGCGTAGCACACCACGTTGCCACCCTGAGGGAAATTCTTCCAGCGCAGACCCCAAACAAATTGTAAGACCATGTGCGCCAACAGGGAACTGAGGAACACTCTTGTGCGCTTATTAGGGGGTGTAATGCAACCACCACCACCCCCTATTTATTTACACGGCTTGATGGAGTCAGCAGATGTGACCCCCCCCCCCCCGCCCCAAAAAAAAGACTGAGGTTGATTAATATATGGGGTCAACAAACCAAACAAAACACAAACATCGAAAAAAGACCAAACAAATGACAACCACTGGAAGGAATGTAAAAGTTGTTTTTCCCCCGAAACCTGCGGAACCTGGAGCCGCCCCCCTCACCCCCCCCCCCCCGCGGAGGCCTCCGCGGCCAGGCGCAGGGCCCAGGCCCAAGCCCCCGTGCGGCTCGCCGCGGCGCTGCTTGCCGCGGCGAGGCTGAGGCCGTCGGGGGTGAAGCGCCGGCCCGGCATGGCTCGCCTCGAGGACAAGGAAGGGGGGGGGGGGTTAGGGGAGGTGGGGAGGTGGAGGTGTGGAGGTGTGGGGCTTGGGCGTTTGGAGGAGGAGGTGGGGAGGTGGAGGTGTGGGGCTTGGGCGTTTGGAGGAGGAGGTGGGGAGGTGGAGGTGTGGGGCTTGGGCGTTTGGAGGGGGAGGGGGGGGTATGCAGCAATCGGAATTCAGAATGCAGGGACGGCGCCTTGCATCTTGCATCCAGGCTCCATCTGAACCCTGTCCGGAGTCCTTTTGAACAAATACCGCTTGCATCCAGATTCCATTTGAACAAATACCGAGCTCACCTCGGAGGAAACAGAGCCACGATGAAGGGGTGGGGCCGGGGGGACGGGGGGACGGGGGGGCGGGCGCCAAGACGAGCGCCGAACACCGACTGGGCCACTGCTCGGTTTCTAGGCGCTTGAGGAAGGCCTGGTAGAGCGGAATGGGCAACAAGGGCGCTGCACATCTCCTTGGTTTAAAAAGGACACCACAAAACGGGACATCCAAATCCATCCCCCCACACACACCCGCACTTGAGCAGGGTCAGACATAGGCTTCTATAAACGTTTGCCATGTCAGCGTATGTTTTTTTTCAGGGGGCCCCCTAAAATGTTGGCTTTCCTCGTGGCTTTTCCTTTAAAGCCACAGAAAGCAGGAGTTTAACCCCAAGCAAAGAGACCTTTTCATGCCTGTCTCGGGTTCTTTAACATGTGGACCAAAGAACCAGCTAAAACAAGTCCCCCCCCCCCCACTATCATGGAGTCCAGAAGGGAGTCTCTTTTAAACTCTAAAGGAACATGGTCTTCCAGGATTCCCCCCCCCCCCAAAAAAAAAACATGTTTGTCGCCCGGTCAGAACCCTTTACCAAAAAAGATTGTATTTACCATGGAAAACCAAGTTTTCTCAAACATATCAATGAACAATCCAGAAGAATGAAAAAACGATGGAAACAACCAGGTTGTTCGAAAAAATATCCATAAAACCTCAGGCATTTACCATGGACAACCCAAGTTCTGAAAACAAAAAACGGCGCTTCCGCGGGTCCAACCCAAAAAAAGGCCAAGCCGAGGCCCGAGGCGCAGCGTGCGCAGCGCCGCACGCCAGGCGCGGCCGCAGGCGCTGAGCGCCGTGTTGTGGCTCACGAGGTCCGTGTGGCGACCCGCCGCCCTCGACAGGCGGCGAAAGCGCCGGTTGAGCTCCCGGTGAAGTGGGCGGCCCGACGCTTGCGGAGCGGCGAAAAATGCGAACAGGTCTATCTGTATACCTTTATATATATATATTTACATATATATATATATATACATATTGGTTTTTCCAAAATGTAGATCGAGTAGCGATAGAATCCCCTTCAAAAACCAAGTGGGGGAAATAACATATATATATATATATACACATGTGCACCATCAATACGATCTTTCAACAAACACTTCATCACTTGGTGACATGTGTTCTATAATTGCACATACAGCGATTGAGGCATACTCAAAACCGATACCAAACTGGTGGCCAACAAGGCGGCTATGGTACTAAAATGGTGGCGACCCAGAACGCATGGTAAAGAATAAACATACCCCCTACACCCAATACCCACTTTTTGCAGGGTATGATGTCGGCCCTCTACTAAAAAAGGAGGTATTTACCATGGAAAACCAGGTTTTCCCAAAAATGCCCTGAAAAAAGCGGGTATTTGGAGTAGGGGGTAGAAATGGAAGGCTGACTTGGCCCCTTACCCGAACCCCACCAAGCGCCCGCTGACCTGGGTGCATGGCTGGCTGGGTTCCGAACCAAAAAATATCTGGGCGGTTCGGTGATGTCTTGCTGGAGGGCAAGCTTCGAGTCGGATACGTCATCAACATCTCTAAACTCAATTCCTGTAAAGTCCCCCCAAAATGGCACAAAACCCCTCTATGTGCCACAAGACCTCCCCAAACAACGAACGGGGTTGGCTTGGATGTTGGTTTTTGGTTTTGCTCATCAATTATCTTGTGTTTAAGCCATGCTTACTTAATCCCATGTGCGAATATCTTGTTTGTCTAAGCAATTCATATGGGCTTGTCTCAAATGGCTCGTTGTCCTGAGCTTTCCTTTAGACTAACCCCGAAGAAGAGTACCCACTCCAAAAGACACCTCCCTCATATTGGCCCTCAGTTGCTACAATGTCCTTACAGAACTCCTAGCTCCGAAAGGCCCTATTTTAAAATCAGATTTGGCTACCAAATGGAAGTGATCCCAAATTCCGTTTTGTTGACCTCCCCAAGGCAGACTGAAACCCAAGCGTGGGTGGTTTCCCAAATAAGACCCCCAGGTGTAAGCCTACTCCAAATACCCGACCTTTGCAGTTGGTATCATGTCGACCCTGGTTAGAGCATCCGCAAGATGGCTTCCAGTGCCCCCAAACCACCTTCAGGGCGAATTGGGGAAAAGAACCAACCACTCAAAATACCCGGCCGTTTTGCAGGGTATCATGTCGACCCTCTGCTAAAAAAGGAGGTATTTACCATGGAAGACCGATCGGTTTTCCCAAAAAAGCCAACTGAAAAAGGCGGGAATTTTGTGTCGGGGGGTAGGCTTTCGGGGTGCTGGCTGAGTGCTCCGATTTCGGGGAGTGACTCCGATTTCGGGGACGACTATCTACCTGGAGTCCCCATGACCCTTACAAACTTTTGAGGGGAATTAAGCCCACCCAGCTTCCAAAGTGCAGTTGCCTCAAGCAGCGCAGCGCTTGCACCCAGCGCTTCCCCGCGTCGCAGGCGCTGATGGCGCTGCTGAAGGTCACCAGGTCGGCGAAAGGACCGCTCCTCGGAAACCGAACAAGTCGTTGGGTTCCGCAGGGCTGTTCTAGGGGCACCTTCACTTGGTTGCTGCAAGGTCCCCCCTGCAAAAAGTGCTTCACTTTTTGGGGGTTTAGTGGCAAACCCAACTTGATTTCAACCAAAAAGTTAAAGTCTAAAGATCCGTTGCCCAATAGCAATCGAGTTAATCCAGGTGAGGGGGTCCAAACCCTAAAACAAAAGAGATACCACGAATCTGTGATACAACCAAAACTGGGCCGCCCTCAGATCCCCCACTAAAAGTTCACAACTTTTAGTGGGTTAAATGGAAACTACCACTAAACACCAAAAGGCTAAAAGGCTAAGGGGATGGGAGCCACCGACGAATCAGTGATACACCAAAAAAGGGGCTTCCCAAAGACTAACCCCCCCCCCCCCCAAAAAAAAAGGAGACTCGCAAAAAATCACGAAAGAATCTGCGAATCCACTTCTTCCCAAAGACTAACCCCCCAGGAAAGAGATTCCTTTGGGGATATTCACCCCGAGTGATCATCTGGCCTTCCCGGGAAGAAACGGATCTGCCCGCGTCCTTTTTTTTGGTGGGCGCCTATGCACCCCGATGAACCGGTCTTTTTTTTTGGGAGGCTGCGCCCTTGGTGGTAAAGGTTGAAAAGAATAGGGTTACCAATCAGGATAAGGTGAACATGTCCCTTTGCCAAAATTGTGGCCTTGGCGTGTGTGTGTGTGTGTGTGTGTGGCTTTGGCCATGGGTCAAAACGTAGTGAACATCCCAATCCCCACTAAAATAGGTTCTAAAACGGGTGGTGAATTCACCTACCAACCAAAATGGGATTCCATTCATTTTGACCCACAGCCATTTTGATAGACCTTTGTGTATTAATATGGGGGTGTCCATTTCTGGGTTTCGCACACCCTGGCCATTTTGCCGAATTTGAACTTCATGGCCATTTTGCCGCACACCCGTCGTAGGCGAAGGCCCCGTTTTCTTCCGAGGCTCGCCAGTCGTAGGCCTTCGCGCCACTGCGCGGTTCGTGCGCAGGCCGTGGAGGCCGCGCCCAGGCACACCGCGCTGGCCGCCGGAGGAGGCGCCTCCGGCCCACGCCTCGCGGGGAGCGCGAAGCTGATAAGCCGCGAAGCCCTCGAAGCGCCCAGAAAACAAGGACATCCTAGAAGATTCGAATCTCAACTAGGTCCTCCAGATTTGAGAGGTTCGAATAACCCTGTATAGTCCATTTTAGTAGGGGAAGGACCTGGATCGCCAAGTTGCGATCGCTTTTTTCAGTCTCTGTTGCTGGGTTTGTGGGGTAAAGTTCATGGAGAAAAGCGATCGCAACTGACAACCCAGGATCTAAGCCACATGTTTGGTGGGCAATCACCCAGCTTTATGGGATCAGCTTCCTAGCCCTTTGGAGCGGTTAAGGGGTGGTTTCCCATTTACCCGCCACAAGAAGCAGAGGCTCAAATCCGAACCCAAAGAAAAAGTCCAAAGCCTGGAAAGATCTGGTTCTTCAGGGAGAAACGCATGGTGGATGCGCGCCCCGCAAGCCTTGGAAGCCATGGGAAACGTTCTTCGGCATTTACAGGGGAAGCATCATTCCAGCCAAACGGATGTCGTCCATCCACAGTACAGTATGGGTCTGTGAATTTTGGGGTTGGCACGCCCTTGCAAGCGGCGCCAAAAGAGAACCACCGTTTGGATCCATTTGCATTTCCCCCCCCCAAAAAAAGACCTCCCCATGTTGCAAGGGCCAAGCACCTGAAAAGGAAAAGGTGCAATAAAAAGAATCCCGAATGAGTTTGGGAAAGGACTCTTTGGACATCTCTTACCACTTCCCATGTCCCGTCTGTATCTTATAAAATTGGAAAAGAGACGGAAATGGCTAGGAAGAGGAAGGAACTCCCAAGGTTGAACCCTAGACCTCTTGCTTCACCATATCCCTCTCTGCCCAGGAACGGAACTTCCTCTGATTTGATCCATCGGGGTGGCTCGCTTGGCTTTGAGCGTACCCCTTTGTCGCGGAGTTTTGAAGGGAAATCAATTATTTACAGGGAAAGCCACAATTTACTTGGTCGAGGTTCCAAATGGCAATCGCTTCATGGGAACCCCACCCCCCCCCCCTCCCGCAAAAAATCCACCATTTGGGGGGAACAACTTCCCAACACTCATTTGCTTCAAGGTATTTCTGTTCGGAAAAACCTGGGTTTTCAGTCCACCATTTGGGGGACAAAGATCCCTTAAACAAAGACACGATCCCCAGTTCCCATGCTGCGCCGGAGAAAATAAGCCCAGGTGGTATCCCCAACAGCCCAAAGGGACCCCTTGGAACCCATCCTGGAACCGTTCCTGAACAGGGCTGCGGGAAATGGAATTGACTTTCCAGAGACTAACCCCCCACAAGAGGAGAAAAGATATCACAGAAGTGATTGGATAACCCCGAGTGATCAACCAAAACCCTCCTGAAAGCTGCACCAACCATACTGTCGATGGACGGAGTCCTGCACCAGATTGAACCATGGGAAAGCAGTGCCTGTTGGCAATTACAGGGGAAGCATCAGAAACCCGGCGGGTTTTCTTCGGTGGTGCGAAAAGGATTTCGTCCCTCCACAGCATTCATGTTCAAGTGAGACGTGTCATGTTTAAACCAGCGGGAGATACTCAATGCTGCTCAGGTGGCATCCCCAACCTGAAGGGACCCCTTGGAATCCTGAAAGCTGCCACCCCGAATGAGCCGATCCCTGGGCCAACCACCCACCACAGCTTTCGCCCGGGAGCCCGGCACCTCAAAGCGCCCAGCGCCCTCCGCCACACGCAGCTCGACTCCAAAGCGCTGAGCAGCGCACCCAGGCACACCAGGCTCGGCTCGATGCGCGCGCCGCCCAGGTCCTGCGGAGGCGCTGCTTGTGCGTGGGGGTCTAAGAAAAGGAACCCACGCCCGGGGTAGTTGAACGGTTTGCAAACAAGAGGAAGGTTTTGGAAACTGACAGATGTTGCGAGAGGGTTCTTTTCTGGGGCCAAGTCTTGAAAACTTTCGGCTGCATGATTGAAACATCGCCCCAGCTGTTCAGGTTCGTAGATTGGCGGTTCCCAGCCGTCTCTTAGGCTTTTGGGTTTTCATCCATTCTAAGGGTGTTTGTAGTACACCCTGGGAATACACCCACTGGGCATTGACCATTTCCGGATAAAACCGTGTTACTTTGAACCATTCTGGGTCATTTTTCAAGGGTTTAACACCGTGTAATACACAAACCCTGAGATGTTTGCGTGGAAGGAACCCAGGCCCTGCGGGTCCTGCGAGTCCCCGAAGAAAGGAAACCACCAGCTGGATTGTTCTAGGGGTCATTCCAACTCATTCCCTGCCTATCTCGCCAGCAAGATGCAAAAGCTAGGGCGGGAGACTTCATGAGTTGTCCAGTGCTCACTGTCGCAGGTAAGGTTTTACCATGGATGGTTTGACCTGTACTATAGTGTCAAAGGCTTAGTGTATGGATCCATATATGAACCCCATGGTATGAATCCCTAGTTTATGGATTCATTAACCCTTAATTGCGCTTAGTTATGGGAAATTCACTTTTTGGAGGGTCCACAATGGATTCCCATGGGTTCAAATAGTGGACCTTTTCAATCAGTCTTTATGGTCAGCCACTTCTCTTGTTGAGCAGCCCATAATGCTTAATTTGTCGAAAATTGAAAGGTGGCACCACCAGACTGGAACATAATCCTTGAAAACAAAACCAAGGGTTTCTTCTGTGGGTTTTGGTCCAAGGGGTCAGTAGGGGAAGTCCTTCAAAGATCGACTGTTCCCTTAATGGGGGCTTTAAAGTTGTACATAGGTCTTACTATACCCCCCCTACTCCAAGGACCGACTCGTCAACCCGTTTGCTACAAAAGAAGGTATTTTCCGCCAAACCAGGTTCTCCAAACAAGAACCTGAAAAGAGTAGGGGGTATGCATACAACATTCCCGGAGGAGTGAAGCAAGCGAGACTGCGAGTTGCATCCCAATAAGTCGCCAAACTCGGCCCTGGGATCGGCACTGAGCCGACACTTAGATAGGATTGTAAGTAGGGTTGCAACCAAGGTTACGGAGCAAAACCCAGGGGACACCAAACGAGGAGCGCCCCAAACCACACCCCTTGCAATTGAGCAGATGGTTCTCCGACCTGCTTTCCCAAAGGATATAGTAAGGCCGATTACACGTTTAAACCCAACCCTACTCCAAATACCCGTTTTTCAGTTTGTAGTTTTGGGAAAACCTGGGTTTTCCACCTCCTTTTTTAGTGGAGGGTTGACATGATACCCTGAGAAAAGAGGGCATTTGGAGTAGGGGGTATCTGCATTCATTTGTGGATCTCCTCATTTGCCTCTTCGTCGGATATCTTGCAACCAAAGCTGGGACGGTCCCGGTGGTGCATATTTACACCGCAAAATGATCTAATCGCGGCTCAAGCCTTCTTCATCTTCCCCTTCCCCACGATGGGTGTGTTTCTTGTCGGCCTCCGCCCCAACCAAAACCCCAATACTATGGTTTTCCTTTTTGGTGTTCCTTTACACCCTCCTAAAACAAATGGTACCACCTCACAAAAACAGACTGAGGTGCGGCCCAAACGAGCGCCCTGGGTCTGAGCCAGAATGCGCCCAACAAAAAACGAAAAATGTGGTTGTTTTTTTGGGGGTTCCTTTACAACTGGCCAAAAAAATGGACCGTACCACCTCAAAACCAAACCGTGCGGCCCAAACGAGCGCCCGGGTCATTAGTTGTTGTTGACCCCCCTGCAAAAAGTGAATAACTGTTTGAAGGTTTGGTGGAAAACCCCTAATGATTTCAACCAAAAAGTGAAAGTCTAAAGATCCGTCACCCAATAGCAGTCAAGCAAATGGGTTGTTTTCTTTCCGAGCTGAGGAATTGGTCCGGGTTCTTCATTGGAGGGCCCCTAAGAAGGGCCTGCATTGGAGGCTCCGGTCATAAGCAGGGATCCGGATGCATTATACACCTGAACATTGCAACTTGTAAATGGTGGTTTCCCTTTATTTTGGTCTTGAAAAAGCAACATTTTTCAAATGGTTGCAAAATGGAGATCTTTTAAGGAGCCCTGATGAGCTTTCGGCTCAGAGCGCGCGTCCGCGTCCTGCATCAAGGCCTGGGCATCTTCCCAGCCCCGGCGCCCCGCCGCGGCCAACGCCAGCCCGAAGCCCACCACGTCGCCCTTCTCCGCCGCCAGCGCCTCGAGGCGCCAAGGAAGGATCGATCCGAGTCGGATATTCGGATCGGTCCTCTAGCTTGGTTGACGTCGGGTTAGGGGAGCAAAAAATCCATTTCCTTTTGGCAGTTTAGTGGGGATTGCCCACTAAAACCACAAGAAGCAAAAAGGTAAATGTTTCCCAGCAACAACCATGGTAGAGAGGTTAGAATAAGGGTACCTAGTTTTTCTGTGGTCTATTTTAGTAGGTGAAACCTCCCCAAAAAAAGGGTAAAAGCGCACCACTCGGGGACCAAGCATATCGTATGTATATATATATATATATATGTACCAATCCTCCAGTGGAGAGGTTGGAATAATTTGGTACCCTCACTTCCATTTGGGTGATGTTTTTCCAGTAGTGATGAATTCTGCTTAAAACCAACAAGGGAAAATAAAAAATAGTCTTAAGCAAATGGAGGCTCATAGGTGTTCTTTTGGAAAAATGATGGCCCTGGTGAATGGAATCAAGCCCATCTAAACCAGTGCCTTCTATTTTATTACAAAACTAACCTGAAAAACACACTTGTAACTACCGTTTCTTTTTCTGTTGTCTATTTTAGCAGGGGGAACCCCAAAATCCTGAAAAAAGCTGAGAAAGGGCACCTAGCTGGAGGACCTAGAATCAAGTCGATGGCATGGGGCGGTGTGTCCACGGGCGAACCAGTCTAAGTTGCCGGATGGACCAGGAAATTGGAGATCTCACCGCGGACGCGACCTGGACGATTTATATAAGATTGATGCCCAGTGGATTTTCAGGCACTGGGCAACTGGGTATATGGACCAAATCAGGGAAACCAAACGATTTGTTCATCTGTGCAATTGCTGGTTCTAGGGAACGTGGAAGCGCTCTCGGGAGAAGGCCAAGGGCATGATTATGGCATGATTGAAGGCCTCCGGAAGCTACTTTGCAATACGTGCTGCCTCAAAGGAAAATTCACAGGTTGTGGGAATGAATTCGCTAGTGAAGCAACAAGAGATGGTTGGGCGTCCCCCTCCCTACTATGAACCAGCAAGAATCGAATTCTCGATCCACGCAGTCCAGCATGGGAGTCACAATCAAACACTTGGTTTAATGGTCGAATGTTCCCCCGGGATGAATAAACCCCTGGTTGATTTATATGTAGACCCTTGAAAACAAACAGGGAAAACACAATACTTCAGCAAATGGAAGATGTATCCAGCCCGTTTCGGGAGTCTCAAGACTGCTTGCCAACCTGGGGGGGGGTTAGTCATGACCACTTCCCTGCAACTGGGTTGCTGGCGATACCCCTCTGCAAAAAGTTGTCCACTTTGTGTGGGTTCAATGTGGAAAACCCAAAAGATTTCCACCAAGAAGTTAAAGTCTAAAGATCCGCCACCCGCCACGAGCAGGGTCCTTATGGTTCTAAATCTCCGAGTTGGCAAAAGGAAAGCACTTCCTACATTCCCTACCCTTGATGGATCTTCGTCGCAACAACCATTGGAAACCAATTCTTTACTCAATAGCAACCAAGGCACATTTGCAATAAACATGGCTTATCAACCCGAACAGCAAGAGTTCTTGTTAATTTCTTGGCTGGAATGTGGACCCCGACCACACACACTATTTTTCGCCTTCGTGGAAAACAAAGCAAGATCAAAAAAGAGCCAAAAAACAACAAGGGAAGCTGATTCTGGTAAGTTGTTCCCCACCCGACGGGACGGGGTTGTTGGTGGAATCCGCGTTTACGATGCTTCTACACCACGCCCCCACCCAGTATCCCGCCAGCGCAGCTCGCCAGATCCCGCCGAGTATTGGATCCCGCCGAGTATCCCGCCAGAGCTACTCGCCAGTGGATCCCGCCGAGTATCGCCAGAGCAGCTGGCCAGTGGATCCCGCCCAGTATCCCGCCAGAGCTGCTCGCCAGTGGATCCTGTCGAGTATCCCGCCAGAGCGGTCCCGCCAGAGCGGACCCCGCCGAGTATACCCGCCAGAGCAGCCCACCAGTGGATCCCGCCCAGTATCCCGCTGAGTATCCCAGAGTAGCTCGCCAGTGGATCCCGCCAAGTATCCCGCTAATTATCCCTTGCCGGTGGATCCTGCCGAGTATCCGGCCAGTGTCGAGCCGGGCTCGCCAGCATTCGCCAGTGGATCGCGCCAGTATCCCGCCAGAGCAGCTCGCCAGTCTGGTTTTGCTTAATGTCCCGGCGCACAGTTGGGTTTACATTTCATGTTGGTGCCTTCGTGTTTTGAGTGTACCCTGAGGCTCGGAAAGGGTGATGCTTTTGTGTTGCTTTGGGCTGTGAGTAAGCAACTTCGTTTAATCCCCCGTCGGGTTTCTTTTTGGCTTGGCGGCTCGCAAACAAGCGGAGTTTGACACACAGACAGGTGGATAAGGCTCTCAATGCAAAGCTTGTTGAGCAGTCATAGGCCCCAAGCCACTCGAAAACCATGCTTGAATTCACGCAACCGTGTTCACGGTCGTAAGCTCGTGAGTGTGGAGGGTGGGGATTGCTCGAAGCGAAGTACTCAATTTCTTCGTGGGCGGTTCTTCATTGGCCGGGAAAACCTTCCGCCTGGCGCCACGCTTGGCCTCTCAAGCTGGCGCTCGCCACCTTCGACCGGAGGGGACCCGGAGGCGAGAAAGGATTGGCCTTGAAGGGATCGGGTACATCAGGAAAGTGGGTAAGAACTTGTAGCAGGAAAAACCTTTCCCATGCGTGCTTGGAGAGTACCCATTCTGTTTGTAAGGGGGACCACAAGGAAACAGATTTCCAGTAGAGAGGTTAGAACCCTTTCTTCTGTAGTCAGGGGAGCCCTTCCCCAAAAAAGGGTAAAAGGGCACTACTAAAAGACCTAGTGGGCCAAAACCCCTACTGCTTGCTTGGGAGAAAGGAATTATAGAACAGGACAAGCAACTGCACGAAGCTGCTTAGGCAAACATCTGGTTCTGATCAGAAATAGGCCGCCTCCAATTTAGCCTTGGGCTAAGGAAAAGCCATCCCTCTTAAATGGGACGCCAACCTAATCCGCTTAACCCCGGGCTGAACTTTAAGATAAATCTCTCACCTGCATACTGGGCTGGAATCCCCAGCAAAAAATATGTTTTTGCCTGGTTAGTGGAAACCAAAGGGGACTCCAAAAAAGCAAAAAAGTAAAAGGGCGAACTAATTCTGGGGAAGCATATAACCATGTCCCCCCCCAAAAAAAAAAAAAAACACAAAAAAACAAAAAAAACAGGAGACATCTGTGAAGCCACAGCTCCCGAGTTCTTTCCCCCTTAAAACATCACCCTGATTCGGGGCACTCACCTTTCACGGTTGCCAACAAGGCAAAGTGGCCAGGTGAAACATCTCGGTTCACTTGAGGGTTTCCACAAATTTCTGCCAGAGCCTCATGATGCTACTGCCCGCATGTGAGTGGGGTTGCGTGAAAGGCGTCATTAAAGCCACGATTTCGCCTGTGAATCCACCAAAAAGGAGAAATAATAGCAGTTAAGTGGAGATTTCCCACTAAACCACAATAAGCAAAAATGCAAAATGTTTCCCAACAACAACCATGTATGGAGATAGGGACCCCGAGCGATGGTGCCACCAGGAAAACGGAAAGCCGAAACCATTTCGGGGCTCCAAATCCCACAGCCCCTGTGGATGGACAAAACCCATGTCGCACCGCTTGGAAACCGTGACCCGTTGAACCCATTGCTTACCGGGGGAATCCTCAGCAACCAGCGCTTCTTAGGCTTCCATTTGGTTAAGACCCCTGGAAAAAAAAAGAAACAGTAGTTTGATAAATTCCATTTAAAACCAACAAGGGAAAACAATAACAAAAAACAACTTAAGCAAATGGAAGTAGGTGGTTACCCCACATCCGTCGCTGCGAAGGGCTGTGCTGAAGGTGACCAGGTCTGGCTGCATCACAAGCTCCAGCACGGCACCGGCCTGGAGATAGGTCGCTTTGAGGAAACCAGCTGCTACTCCACATGCCCCACCGGTGTTCAGTTCCTTGTGCATCAAAACACCTAAACAAAAGGAGGCTCACCAAAAACCGGGCAAAAAAAAATGAATTCCGGCACATCAGCGGGTGAAACTTCCATTCGCTTCAGGTTTAGAGACAAAAAACCTAGGCCAGAGTCTCCAAAGCCAGGATCTGTGGACAAGGGAGAGCCAGGATCTGTCTCCAAATGCCAACCTTTGGTTAGATTGCTTTTCTTGGAATAGCGATGGATGTTCCAGGCAGAATGCCGGCCGCTTTTTTGGTCCAGGGTTGAAATCATATCCCCTCATGCCCTCAAAGAAGTCGGTCTTGGGTGTAGAGGGCAGCCCAAAGAGCGTAAAGAATGAAGAGGGTCCACGCATGTCCGAAAAGGGACGCTCACCCCACTGATGAGGACCAAACTGAACCTGGAACCTATCTCGCCGAACCGAACATGACGCTTACCCCACACTCCAAATACCAGCTTGTTCATTGCATTTTTGGGATGGGCATGATGGGCTTCTAAGGTAAATACCTCCCTTGTTCGTAGCAGGTTGGCAGGATACCTCAAAAAAAAACGGGTATTTGGAGCAGGGGGTATGGTCCTTTGTTCGGAAGAACGTTGCATACATGGCCTGGGCTGAATCCAAACCAAGAAAACCAGAAACCCGCAGCCCCGAGCCCCCAAACTTCAACGCCATTGACCGGGTCAAAGGCAAGTAAGTGTCTTTTGGGGAAGGGGTGGTCTCTTTAGGCCTGACGGTTATCTCCTGCTGGGGGGCTTATGGGCTTATGACTTGGCTGGACGCCCAAGTGAGCATGCCGGAAGCTCCAAAGACCCCAGCTTGTTGAGGGTACTTCGTGTCAACTGACCCAAAAAAAAAAAAAAACGAAACGTTGACCGCAAAAAACCTGGCGTGTCCGTTGTTGAGGCTCGGTGTTCTTTTCAAGCTGAAAGGCTGAGTGTGTCCGACGCAATCTCGCCTTCACCTTGCGAGCCATCAGTTCACTAGGCCATCCTCTTGAGGGACAAGGGAAAAAACACATGGTGGATCCAACTTTGTTTATGAGTGTGTATTGTTAAGGCGAACCCCAAAATGGTCGGGTCCGTTTTTGGCTTCCCTTGGAAAAAAAAGAAGTGCCCTCACAAAAAGACACACACAATCATATGTTGTTCAAGTTTCGGGAAGTCTCAGCGGCAAGCTTTGTAGCAAACACTCTCACAGAAAGTCAAGTTCAGCCTGCAGCTGGTTGCTATCACCGCCATACTCAGGATATCCCCAAGTCACCACTGAGCAGTCGTCCATGATGGCAGCAAACGAAAACGCAGTTGCTTGGATCTGCTGGACGTGCACCAGCTGCTCTTGCACTTCGCTGCTATTGCCGCCAAGGTCAGGATCGCCCCAAGTCACCACAGAGCCTTCGTCCAGTATGGCAGCAAAAGAAACCGCTGTTGCTTCGATCTGCTGGACGTGCACGAGCTGCTGTTGAACCTGACTGCTGTCGCCCCCACATTCAGGATCGCCCCAAGTCACCACAGAGCCGTCGTCCAGGATAGCAGCAAAAGCACGCTCAGTCGCTTGGATCTGCTGAACGCACACCAACTGCTCTTGCACCTGGCTGCTGTCACCACCATAGTCAAGATATCCCCAAGTCACTACTGAGCCGTCGTCCCGGATGGCAGCAAAAGCCCCTGTAGTTGCTTGGATCTGCTGGACTCGCGCCAAATGATGTTGCACCTGGTCACTGTCACCGCCAAAGTCTGCATTGCCCCAGGTAACCACAGAGCCGTCTTCCAGAATGGCAGCAAAAGCCTGTGCACTGGCTTGAACCTGCTCGACTCGTATCATCTGCTCTCGCACCTGGCTGCAGTCACCGCCAAAGTCTGGATCGCCCCAAGTCACAACAGAGCCGTCGTTCAGGATGGCAGCAAAGGCACTCCGAGTTGCCTGAATCTGCTGGACACCCACCAACTGCCTCTGCACGTAGCTGCTGTCACCACCCCAGTTTGAATCGCCCCAGGTCACCACAGAGCCGTCGTCCAGGATGGCAGCAAAAGCACTCTGAGTTGCTTGAACTTGTTGGACGCACACCAGCTGCTCTTGCACCTGGCGACTGTCACCGCCATTGGGGGGTTGGCCCCACGTCACCACAGAGCCGTCGTCGCGGATGGCAGCAAACGCGCTCGCAGTCGCTTGGATCTTCCGGACACCCACTAGCTGCTCTCGCACCTGGCTGCTGTCACCGCCATTGCCAAGATTGCCCCAGGTAAGCGCTCCGCCCCCCAAGACCCAAAGGGCGAACGCGGTGTGTGTGGAAGCTAGCCGGGGACGCTGAGCAATAGCTTCAAAGCGGTCCCCATCCTTCACGTCCATCTCACCCAGAGTAAACGAAGGATCAAGCTGCCGGCCTCCAAAGGCAAGCGCCAGGAAGGGGCGCTGGAACTGACGTTGCGCCTCGGTCTTGAGGACGCGGACGCTCGACTCTGGGGTCAGCACGACGGAGCAGCTCCTCCCACTTGCCAGGCACACTTCCAGCTGCATTGCCTGACGGTTTTCTTGCGCCTCGCTGGGGGCAACGTTGCCTGACCTTTGAAGTATTCAGAGCCAGACGCGGGTGCCCTGAGAGGATGCACCTGGATCCCCAGGTAGCCACTTTTTCCCAGCCACTGGAAGCCCACTAGTAGCCCATAATTTGGGGCAAAAGTAGCTGGAAAATAAAGGCCTTGCTGGGGATCCAGGCATTTGGTGCGGCAAACCACGGCCAAAAGATCATTCTAGGTCGATTGGCTTGGACAACTGAGGCTAAGAATTAACCAGTTTGAGAAACATCATAGCCACCCAAACAAGCCCCCTACACCCAATACCCTCTTTTTTCAGTTGCTATGATGTCGGCCCTCTACTAAAAATGGGATCGGTAATTACCATGGAAACCCGATCGGTCCAAAAAATGCCAACCTGCATCGCCAGTGCGAGATCGAAACCAGCCAGGCTCAGCTGACACGCTGAACCAATACCCCCGAATTACTCCAAATACCCGCTTTCTTCAGGGTATTGTTGGGGAAAACCGATCGGCTTTCCATGGTAAATACCTCCGTTTTTTGTAGAGGGTCGACATCATACGAAAAAAGTGGGTATTGGGTGCAGGGGGAATACCAACAACAAGCCCATGGTAAGATGTTGCGTCTTTCCAGGATTTCCACCCGAAAAGCGGGCCAACCCCTCTGCTCGGCCTGGTCAGGACTCAGTGCCCGTCAAAAACGGTTGAGACGAGGGTTACCGCCCAACCAGGAGGGCTGTCAACTCACTTAAGGCCTCACTTCCCGAGTGGGTTGGCCAAATCAAAGTCCGAACTTTTTTGTTTGCCACTTATTCAGGGGTTTCCAACTCCACCCCTTCGTGGCCACTTCTGGCTTCCTTTTCAAAGATTAAACCTTGCTTGCTATTTGGCACCCACCTACACCTACCCTCCCCCCCAAAAAACCTAAATATCCACCAAATGCCCCCAATCCCGCTGCCCACATCGAGATCCAGCACATCGGCTTCGAGAATCTCAGCCGCCTGCAGCCACAAAGCGCTCTTCTCACACACACCCATCACCGCGTTCAAAGTCACCAAGTTCCCGCCGCACCTCGCGCCGACCGAAAATCCAACCGAAAGGAAGCCGGGAGGTCCGATGTCCCACTGGGAGGACATCGGGTGCGAAATCGGTAGGGAATGAGAAATGGAATGAACCGGTTTCGGGGATTCCCGAGAAAAAGGTTTTCCACTTGTGGGAGGGTTTATCTCGGGGGCATTCCAATTCTCATTCGCTGCCTATCGCACCAGCAAGAGTTAGCAAGTGCTTGGCTATTGTTCGCCCCCGCTATCAGGGTGAATCCCACCTTCATGATGTGAGTTGCCACCAGGGTCCCACAAGACCGGAGATATTGACCTCAGCGCGTCGTACATAACAAATAGTAAATAGCAAGGACACCCAGAAAGGGACCTTGGCATACCCCTAGGCCAAGGCAGTACAGCCATTCTCGAAGCTCCAAGGTGTCCTCTTTTCGATCTACCGCACCCGAGTGGCGCACCCGGCCGGTCTGGCCATGGAAGTCAGCTACCGTTACAACTTACTAGCCGAACACCCAAGTGCATGGTTGTGGTTGATAACCACTGTGCTACTTTTGGGAATCTCCCCCTTTATAGGGGAGCCCCTTTGGTTGTATCACAGGCGTGGGTTCCAATTCCCACTGCCCAAGCACCAATAATGCAGAATGAATCCGACGAATCGAACCCGAAGTGAAACTTGTGCTGCTTGGGGGGCGATGTGTGCTTGCATTATTTGCATTATGGCAAGGAACTAGCTGAGAGATGGGCCGGGCCGCTGAGATTCAGTCATTCAACAGGGTGCATAGGGTAAACCAATTGAAGGGGAATACTGCTGTAATTATCTAGCCCCTCCTGGCTACATTGCTTCTGGAACCTCCAGCCCTCTGTAAAAAAGGCTTGAAATAAACATCACCAATCCCGGGATTTTTCCCCCGATTCCGTGGCAGTTCCTCGTGGATTCCATGGAAACGGGTCCCTTGAAAGGAAACTGGCTAGGACAACTTGGGAGAACCAGCTGGAAAACCAATGACAAGAGCCACAAACTACCCCCCTCCCTTCTGGAAAAAAAATGGTTGCCCGGTAAAATCAGCGATCTTTGTTCGAGAATGCCATCCGTTTGCCAGCAAAAAGAACAGCGAGCAACAAACCCATCTATTCTTCCAAACACGTCTGCCCTCATCCCCCCCTTTTCCCTCTTTCCCCGGCGGGGTCTGCCGGGCTGCCCCCCAAAACGCCCCCCCCCCCCCCGCCTCAGAAGGTTCAGCGCCCAGCGCCAGGACTCGGCAGGCGCTGCGCCGCGCAGGGCAGTGACGCCGCTGTTGATGCTCACCTCGTCCGGAGCAAGCGCCGCCTGCGACGAAGAGAAACTGAGAACCCGCGCCGCCTGCAGTCTCCTGGCTGTGGGTCAAAAAGAGGGTAACCCCAACATGGACCCTGGTAAATGGAACCAAAGACTAACACCTGCCATCTCCTGGTGGATTGAAATTGACCCATACCCTCCTTTGTTTTCCTTCTGCGCCTGCAAAAAAACAAGAGCCCTTCTTGATTTTGCCCGTGGTGTCAAATGGAAACTCCGCCAAAGGCCTGACTTTTCCGGGTCGCGTTGCTCTTTGGACGTCTTTGGGGCTACACAACGGCCAGCTTCAATGGCTTTTCACTGTGGATGGACAAAATCCATTTCGCACCACCTGAAAAACATGGTTGAAACCATTGGTGGTTGGTATGTACAGGGGAATCATCATTCCAGAATTTCTTAGGTGGTGCGAAATGGATTTCGTCCATCCACAGTACCACCGTTTTGAGTACAGGGTTCACTTGCCCTAAGAAGGGGTGGCCTGAATTCGAAGATTGGCCCCAAAAAAGTCCTTCACCGAACTTTGTATTTGCCACTTCAATGGTCCAAACCCGAAAGTCACGAAAGTCGGGAAGTGAGACGTATCAGAAGCTACATGTGGAAGGTTGCGAAATCCATTTCGCAGCACCTAAGAACTACACAGGCGCCCCCTTGCGTAACCCCAGAAGGATTAACGATTGCCTTTGAACAGCCCAGCCCAAGCCAAGGGAAACAAGCAGTCCGCCATATTGAGAACGGGACCCGCCTGTCGCATCTCCCAGTTCAGCGCCAGCGCCTTTCTCCATCCGCCAGGCGTCTCTCCGACGCGCGCGGTGGCGACGTTGAAGCTGACCACGTCTGCCCGCACCTGGCGATGTTTTCCCTACCCCCCGAAACCCTACCCCCGCAAGCTCCAAATACCCGTCTTGTTCGGGGCATTTTCTGGGAAAACTGATCGGTTTTCCACTCCTTTCTTAGTAAAGGGTTGACATCACACAAGCTCAAAAAGCGGGTATTGTGTGTAGGGGGGTACTGCAGGAAGAAGCGGTTCCAAGGTCAGGCTTCTTTGGCCATGCCCGTAGAGACAACCCGCTGTAACGACAATGACCAAGAAACAGGACATGAACCGCTCTCAGTTGCGACCAGTTTGGACCCAGACAAACCGGGTGATCACCTGAAACGGGTCACTAGGTCGGCTTTCAACTGAGTTGGATGCTCTACGTGGCAAGGAACATTCCAAACTCAAAGCAGGTCATGCCCAACTTTCCCTAGCAGAACACTCCCCAAACTTGCCCAAACTCCCTAAAGGGAGTGCTCTGACTGGTGGAGTCCTCCGGGTGAATCCGGTTGTTCAACGGGAAAGCAGGTTGTTCAAGCACGGCACGACTCAGCTATTTGTTGGGTATTATCTTTACTTCAGGCCACTTTCCTGGGGTTGGTTTTTTCAGGGAAGCCAAGAGGAAAACCGCCCACTTTGTGGGGGCTCCCAGTGGTTTCATGGACCACCAAGCCCAACCAAAACCTCTCCACACCAAGGGAACCGGATGCCTGGGAACCAAGAAACAGAGCCCCTACCCTACGCCAAATACCCGGAGTTTGCAAGGTAGCTTTGGAAAAACCTGGGGTGTTTATGGAACATCCTTTTTTACTAGAGGGTCGACATTATACCCTAGGAAAAACTGCTTTTTTTGGAGTAGGGGGTTGCCTTTCTCCTTCCGTCTGGCCTGCTGCGCCCGGGCCGAGCGCAGCAGGCCGAAGACCCCCGCCCGCCAGCGCGAGGCGCCGCGGCTCCCAAAGGCCGCGTTCCAGCAGACCGCGTCGCACACCACACCGGCGGCGGACAGGTTGGAGAGCCTGGGTGTGTCATAACAATGCACGATGATTGGAGTTGTAGTTTTATTACTTTCATCATTCTATCATATGTTGTAGTGTTATGTTACTTTCTGGAACTATGGTGGGCATCCTTACCCATATCTTATGATGAGAATCGCGTGGAACAGGTTTGGGGCGTCAAGAGGTCCCCGAACAAAAGCACTTATGTCATCTCTTGAGCTCGTTTTGCCCCATTGATGAGCTCGCCCCAACAACAGCCGGCGGGTGTGTCGTTTGGTTGGGAAGACCCAATTTTCGGGTCTTAAAGGGAAACCAACAGGAAACCGTCGCTATTTTTGGAAGGTCCCCAAAAAAAGGACACACCTATGTCCCTCTTCCACATGGCCCTCTCTCTGTCTTCGGATCTCTGTCACCTGCTTGGTCTGGGGCTTGGACGGACGAATTCTTGATGGCTTTGCAGGCAGACCGAGTCACTCGGCCAACCATCCACTCAACTTGGATGTTCACTTAGCATGAATGTTACCGTACTCCAAATACCGTATGTGTTTGGGTATGGTTTGGAAAACCCAGGTTTTCATGGTAGTTACCTCCTTGTTTTGGTAAAGGGTCGACATAACACCCCACCTTGAAAAAGCGGGTATTGGGTGTAGGGGTACATCCCTGGTTGTAAGTCAACTAGCCCTATCTTGTACTAACTACGTTGAACATCCCATGCATCCAAGTAGAGCGAACTCACTCGCATCTGGATCTGGAAGCAAAACATGAACCTCGAAACATGATTTAAGTTGGACACCTAAAAGGTTGAAAGGTGGACACCCGAAAATCGGTCAATCCCTTTCTCATCACTTGCAGACCCTCACCTCGTAACCTCGTGGGACCAACAGGCTACAAATGGGAGCCCCAAATACAAAAACCATTCTCTTCAACTTCAACCCTCCCTTTGCTCTTGAGAACGTGCTTCGCCTATGTGGGTTGTTATATATACTACCCCGAAAGCTCCAAATACTTTTCTTTAAGGATTGACTCTTGTACAAACCTGGTTTTGTTTTTACTGAAAACATCTTTGCTTTTGAGGATTGCCATTGTACCCTGAATGTCAAAAGTTGGTATTGTCACCCTGGTTCTTGAGGATGCATAGGAAACTGATCACTAAACCACCGGGCTCTGAACCAAACACCGGAGGAAGCTGATATTGTGGACAATGGACGCACCTGATAATTCCCCCGATGCCAATGAACGTTCTGGCTTAAGCCATGTGTGCGAAATGGATTTCGCAACCATTGCATCCACAGCAAGGTGTCAACAAAAAACGTGTTGTGTTGAATTCCATCCCAGTTCCATCGACCGGACCGGGATTTTTTTTATCAGTGTGCCGGGGTTCCGAGCATCATCCACAAGATTGTGCGTAGGTTGGCCTCATTATGTTACCATGGTCAAAGTCACCCCTTAAGTGGTTAAAGGGAAACAACCTCATTTTCTGACTTTGATAACCCCAAGAAGCCGTCCAAATAATGACCCCGGTGTAGGTTGAATATACCTCAAATGCCCAGAGGACATTGGGAAAAAGGGCATCCTTTTGTTGGTCGGCTAACTTTAAACGGGGAACCCTTTCTCGAAAAAAGTTGCAAAAAGGAAGCAACCCGCTGGGCAACTGGGATACTCCAAGTACCACGCCCGAGCCGCGTGTGCAGCGCCCGGGGCCAGTTTTCGCCCTTCGCCAGGCGCGCCAAGTCTGCGGAGGCCCGGCGTAAGGACGCGGGAGCCGCGGCCTGGCGACGGGACGGGGCCAAGGGTTGGAGTGCCTAAAGCACGGCGAGCATTTGTTGTTCACCATAACCTTCGGTTCTTTGCAGTTTACGGTTTACGTTTGGTTCTGTTCATGTTTTGAGTGGGGGGCTGCCAATAAATGGCCTGGATCGCCCGTTGCGATCGCCTTTTGTCCATGAACCTTACCCCCAAAACCAGCAACAGTGACCGAAAAAATAGCAACTTGGCTATCTAGGGGTGGAGAAGGATTGAGGAGTTTTTCGGAACCCGAAAATCTAGAAAACGGCTTGGAGAAGCGCTTTTGACGCGGAGTTCTCACCTGTTCTTCTCTTTCTTGGTCCTTCTTTAGTGGTGGTACCTTTTTCAGTATATGTGGTACGAAATGGATTTCGTCCATCCACAGTATGGCATGTGTCCTTTTTGGGAAATAGATGGCCCTGGTGGATGAACTAACCACCAGCTAAACCAGGACTCACCAAACCCACCGGACCCACCAAAAAGGAAGCCTATGAGCGTAAGAGTATGGGTGCATCTCATTTGCACTGCGCCATATTTCAAACCCAAATGGAAGCAGTGAACCAGGTCGAGTGCCGTCCGGGCGGATCCAAGGGCAACCAACTTGGGGGGATTCCAAATGATCTGACATATTGCAATCTCTCTATATATATATATATTATTGCAATCTCTATATATATATATATCTATCTGTGTATATATGCATAAGCACACGTTTGTGTGAACAACTATCTACGTACGCTTGTTTGTTTATAGATATTTTCGCGCAACCAAGGGCTTGCCAACCTAAAACCGAACGGAAAATAGCGATGGGCGAAAGGCCCGGGATCCATTGGGCATTGTTCGTATGGACACCTACCCCCTACTCAAAATGCTTTGGTACCTCCCTTTTTAGGAGAGGGTCGACATGATGCCCTGAAAAAAGAGTGCATTTGGACTTGGAGTAGGGGGTAGGTGTTATATATATATATGTATATATATATATATATATATATATATATATATGTGTGTGTGTGTGGGTGGGTGCGTGTGCGTGTATGCACCTGCACACGTATGTATGAACAGCTCCCTACCTTTGTTTGTAGATACTTTCGCGCAGTAAGGGAAAAAGTCTGGTGCATACATTGGAGCGCTGCCAAGGGCAGGTCACTTCAGGTGCGTAACCTGGGCTCGCGAGAGCACCCGGTTAACATGGGGGCCCTGGGTCTGGGACCCAATTCCATGTTTTAGTCTGGGTTTCATACGGGTGATTTACGCAAATGACCGAAAAATCATGGCCATACGGGCAAATACGGGCAAATACGGGAGTTTAACCGAAAAAACAGCCATACGGGGTGCCAGGTTCCCCTTAAAGGGACAAGGGGTTGCCACAAACGGAGATCTCCAGAGGTCCCATTGCAAGCTGGGGAGGATGTATCTCCACTTGCCTCCAAAAGCCTCCTCAAAAGCCTTCGCGAAATGAATGGAACCAACAACAACCAAACTAGCCGCCTGTTTCTCAAGACCCATGCATGTCGCCCCTGTGGGCCAAAAAAAAGAAGAAGCAGAAGCCGCGTCCGGCCCAAGCCTTGGCACCCCAAGGCAAAACACAACCAAACAACCTGGACCCCCAAAGGACCGATTCCTTTTTTCTGCCTTTGACCCAAAAAAATGGGTACAAAGGTAGAAAAAAGGGGTCCTTTGGGGGTCCAGGAACCCAGACCTTCAACCTACCCTCATTCTTTCAGGGCAATATCCCAATTTGTGGGTAGTTTGAGGGTCCAGGAACATACCAAGCACGGCGAAGTCCCAAGCGCCCAAGCGCAAGCGAGCTCTGCCCAAGTCGCCTCGTCGCCCCGTGGCTTGCTTCCGGCCATTGGCCCCGCGTGGCGACGTCGGACACGCCATGGCGAGGTTTTGGGAAAACCCCGCGCCGAAGAGGCGTTGCTCGTGTTCCCAATCTAGAAAGCGGTTTGGATGTGTCGAATCTGTGTTTCCACCCGTGCCAAAAAGAGAACAAAGGACACGGAAGAACGCGTGAAATCCAAAAACAGCGCCTCTAGAAAACCCCGTTTTCTAGGCCCACAAAGTGACCCACTGCAAGAGTTTAATCTCTGTTTCAGATGTTCTGCCTGCAAAGTAGCATAGTCCTGGAGGTGTCTACCCCGACGCAACAACTTGGCGCGAAGTCCAAGACCCCATAAAGCCAAACGGGGTTCCTCGGAGGAATGAACCGTTGATTCATAGGGTGCCCCCTTTTACTGGGAAATCCTCAGCGCGCCGGGGGGCCACCAGGTACTTCCAAAAGCTTCCGACCGGCTTCCTTGACTGGAGGGAGGGCACTCTCTACCACATACCTGGCCTTTTCTTAGGTATGATGTCAACCCTTCCTGTAAACAGGAGGTAAATATTCTGGATGAAAAAAGAGCCAGCAGGTGTTTGGAGCTTTCGGGAGGGCAGTATGGCGTAGCTTCGCGCGGGCAAGAGCTCTATATTCACCTGTCTCCCCACATAGAAGGAGCTCAAGCCGCCCGCTGGGCGAATCGCGCAGTCCAGGTCAATCGCACCACGAACGGAAACCGCCCGACTCAAAAAATCCCCCGCTTTTTTTGCGGTGGTTTTGGGAAAACCGATCGGCTTTCCATGGTCAATACCTGCTTTTTTAAGTAGAGGGTCGGCATGATACCCTGAACAAAAACTTGTAGCTGGAGTAGGGGGTATTGGCATACACAGCAAAAACATCAGAAACCGGGATTGCTTCGGTGCAGGATATCGTCCACAGTGTTTCCGGCCAACGGAAAGAGACTTTGGGCGAAATGGCAAGTGAAAGTGGGCAGGTGCCCCCCTACTCCAAATACCAACTTTGTCTAGGTTGTTTTTTTGGAAAACCTGGTTTTTCAAGGTAAATACCTCCTTGTTAGTTGAGGGTCGGCATAATACCGTAATAAAGTGGGTATTTGGAGTCGGCATGTCCCACTTGCAAATCCTCCTTAAGATGAGACGTGCCGCCAAGCTTCTGCTTTGGAAAGATGCGCCGAAAACCATGGCCTGTGCCAAGCGAAGGTGCATCTGGGGATCGGCGACGCATTTTCAAAGGATCGAGGGAAAGACCTACAGCCCAGGGGTGTCTAAGGGGCATGATCTTTTTTATACCCCCTCCATACCCACATTTTTTAGGGTAGGATGTCGACCCTCTATTAAAAAAGGAGCTATTTGGCGTGGAAAACCAGGCAGGCAGGCAGACAGGCAGGCAAGGCAGGCAAGGCAGGCAGGGCAGGCAGGCAGGCAGGAGGCAGGCAGGCAGGCAGGCAGGCAAGGCAGGCAGGCAAGGCAGGCAGGCAAGGCAGGCAAGGCAAGGCAGGCAGGCAGGCAAGGTCGGCAAGGCAGGCAAGGCAGGCAAGGCAAGCAGGCAGGCAGGCAGGCAGACAGGCAGGCAAGGCAGGCAAGGCAGGCAGGGCAGGCAGGCAGGCAGGAGGCAGGCAGGCAGGCAGGCAGGCAAGGCAGGCAGGCAAGGCAGGCAGGCAAGGCAGGCAAGGCAAGGCAGGCAGGCAGGCAAGGTCGGCAAGGCAGGCAAGGCAGGCAAGGCAAGCAGGCAGGCAGGCAGGCAGGCAGGCAGACGCGTCGACTTGGCCTGCGTGCATATGCGGCCGGTAGCGGCCATATGGCGCGAATCCGAAGCCGGACGGAAGCCAAAGAGCTGCCCCGAAAGATCTTGAAGAGTTCGGGCTTGGCCTATCGCACATCGACCGCCCCTCCCCCAACCCTCCCTCCCTCCAACCCCCCCCCACCACCCCGACCCCCATAACAAGAACAGGAGCCACCCCCCCAGGTTCAAACCAGGGATCCTTCCAATATACGCCTGAACATTGCCACTTGTAAATGGCGGTTTCCCTTTATTTTGGTGTTGAAAAAGCAACATGCTTCAACTGGTTGCAAAATGTATCTGTTAAGGAGCCCTGCTCAAACTCACCGGAAAAAAATCAGACGTTCGGGTGTCCTCGCCTTCCCGCCTCTGCGCCATCGGATCGCTCGCTGCCCGGAACGGTGGGGGCTGATCGAGTCGAAGCTGCGCGGCGCTGCTGCCAGAAGAACCCTGCAGGATTAGCAAGGTGATTCCTGGAAGTGCCTTTCTTTCTTTTTCTTTCAGGGGGTTCCTATCTGTCTTCTTCTTTCTTTCTTTTTTTGGGGGGGGGGGGGTGAGGGGGTTGGGTTGGTTGACGGGGTTGGTTGACGGGGTTGAGGGAGTTGAGGGGGTTGAGGGATTAGCACGCCCCACGAAGCTGCAAGTGGATTCGTCCGGGATCCCTGTGAGGACCCGTGATTCAGGAGATGCCCCGCCATTGCTTGCATATTCAACCTAGATAGGCTACAAACAGGGACTGTAGGACAACTGAGTCATAATCAAAACCGAGTATCCAAATATTCTACCCAGAACAATGTAAAGGAGTAAGCAGGCGGATATCCGCAACCATGTATGGTTGGGATTGCCCCTTACTCACCGGAACATCTACCCGAGCAAGTGGCTCGACTGAGCTTAGTTGACTCAGCAAACAACTTTCCGCGTTACGCTGAAGACCCCAGTCGCCAAGTCGCCGATGTTTTTTTTCTGGAATCCCGTTAGCGAGGGGAAGGTACGTTACGGCTGGTGGGTAGTTGAGAGCCTCAGGGTTCCTTACGGCAGGGATCCTTGCAGTTCCTTAGAAAGCCTTAGGGAACCCCCCCTTTGGACCACCTTACGGAGCTTTGGCGAACCCCCCCACTCCACTCCACCCCCCAACTCCAGAACAAATTGACCCTACCGGAAAAAAGAGAAAACACGCGATGGGGCCAGGCCAAGAAAAATGGATCGACCAGCAGCTCCACAGCTCCACAGCTCCGCTCGGCCGGAGTTTTTTTTCCCCCGCCGAAGGCAAGCGGCGGATCGGCGGATCTGACAGGGCGGATGCGGCGGATCGGCGGAGATCTCAGCCCCCAGCTACTTGGGTGTGTTATTTTCATTTTCGCAAGCTTCCATTTGCTTTTCCGCCTGGAAAAATTACATTAAAGCAAATCCAGTCATGATCGCCCACGATCAGTTTCCCTCTAATTGGTGGATTGAACTGGTCGTTTCGTGGTCCAGGACACTCTCCCATTTGCCCTCTACAAGAACCAGTGATTCAAATCCGAATATCGGACACTAGGCAGTAGCGGTAAACACCCAGCACGAGAGCCGAAGAACAAGTTTGTTGGTGCTGGCCCGGTTGTACCTATCCAAGTAGGGTTTCAGTGCACACGGGCTCAGGTAACCCTTTGGTGGTTGGGATTCTTGGCGAAATTGAACCCATGGCTCTCGCAGGAATCGTCCTTAACCTCCAAGCCACAAATCCAAACCAGTTTGAGGCGCGCTGAAGCACTTTTAAGGGGAAATAGTCTCTATTTGCTTAAGCCGCCAATGAAAACAAGGGCATTTCAGTTCTCCCATGCACCCAGCTACCAGGCGGTAGGCAAAGAACTCACTTTGCAGGGTCCTGATTTAACGGAATCACCCCCAGGCAATCTCACGCCAAAATTCATATTCGATCCCTCGGGTATGGGGATCGCGGCGCTCCGGTCGACGGCTTTGCCGGCAACTGGGGCCAGGTTCATGGACCTCCTCTCGCGTGTTTCATATCTGAAGGTAACCAGCCCCCTACTCCGAATACCTGTTTTTTTCATGAATCCAAGGTAAATACCACCTTTTTTAGTAGAGGGTCGACATCATACCCTGAAAAAAGTGGGTCTTGGGTGTAGGGGGGAGGTAACCAAGCGCCACCCGACACAAAGAAAAATGGCAGCTGAGCTGGGAAAAGCAAGGGGCGAACGGGCGAAAGTTAAATCAACTTCGAAGTGAATGAAGCGGAAAACTGGTGGGGCTGCAACATATGGAGGGGTTCCTCTGGGAAATCGAGTGCCGCTCGTCTGGACCAAACCACCGGTGAGACTTTCCTTTTTGGGGGCGAAATAATTTGCGGTTGTGCCAGAAAACAAAAAGGGGGTCATCGTTGAAAAATGATCAAAAAAGAAGGGGGTAAGGCCTTTGAAAAGAATTGTAATTCAGCCCCTTTACATATCGCGTCGGCTCGCTTCAACTAAACAGGGTGCCAACGGATATTGCAAATAACATACTGTGGATGGCTGCGAGGTAAGTTTCGCACATGTTGGGAACCATGGTTGAAGCCTGTAACTAGAGGGGAATCATCATTCCAGGGTTTCTTAGGTGGCACAAAATATTTTGTCCATCCACGGCAGCTGTTTGATGAAACTCGACACTGGCAAGTTCAACTGAAGCCACAAAGCAACCCATCTATCTTCAGCTAAAGCCGCTTCTCCACCCATTTGGTGCCGGCTTGGTAACTCGGAGGTTGATACACAAGCACAAGCATGCAAAATCACCTTGGAGTCTTGGAGGCCCATTCGAGTGCCGCATTTCTGGGCTGCGAAACGAGTCGGCCAAGCCGATTTTTCTCCGTGATTCCCTCGCGACATCGCGGGTGGCTGGGGAAACCCCCAACCACGTCCGGGGGCTTCTGGTTTGGACCACTTTGCTTTTAAAGGGACCGGGTCTTGAACGTCAGGTTAAGGCGGTTGATTGGTGGGAAGTAACACGTGAGCGTGGCTTTTCCATGGATCCAGTAGCTACATAAAACAGGGCTCCAACTATAGTTCCAATCTATATGTCATGATGTGTGTGTGTGTGTTTAGGCTCCAAAAGCGGCAAATGAACATGTGCATCAATAGTATATATATATATATATATAATGTACACACAGCTACTCATTTCTTAATGTATATACATTTATGTGTATGTATGTGCGTGGTCCTATGTGCCTATGTAAGTGTATACGTATGTGCATATACATAAATATGTGTGTGTGCACGCGTATGCGTTTAGATGTTCCTATGTGACTGTTGCCCGCCCAGGTCGCAGGAACCGCGAGGCGCTG